GGTAAGAGATCGATACAAAGAAAATAATAATGTTTGGATAACGAACGTTAAAATATTTAAGTGATTTGTGAACTTTCTGGCAAGAGTTGGATAGAAAATGATGGTATTAAACTGTCAACAGCTTTCGAAGAGGTACGGTAATATTACTTTAATCGATGTCTTACTGGTAGCAGACAGCATCACTTTGATGGTATTAAACTGATAACAGTTTTCGAAGAGGTACGGTAATATTACTTTAATCGATGTCTTATTGGTAGTACAAAAATCCACGTTTAAAACAAGAAGGTTGTGAGTTGTTAATGTTGTGATTATATTTGTTGTCGTTTTTTGTGCTCCCAGAATTTATCTGAAAATATTAATCCACGATAAAGAATCACTTATATGCCATTAGAAAAACCGTATAATTTGAAACTATTTCTCTCAACACTAGGGTAAGAAGGAAAACTGCATATTTGCTATTAAAACATCCTGTTATTTAGTATAATTTAGTAGTAGTACAAACCTACACGTGGAGGGTCTAATCCTATGATATGGTACCTTACAGTAACGATATTAACGTATATACTTTTTAGCTAGAAAAATCATTTAGTTTAAAACTATTTCACTCAACACTGTGGTTAGGGTGCTCGACTAGTAACCTGCGGGTCGCAGGTTCAAATCCCCGTCCCACCAAACATGCTCGCCCTTTCAGCAGTGATGGCGTTATAAGTGACGATCAATTCGTTGGTAAAAGAGTAGCCCAAAAGTTGGCGGTGGGTGGTGATGACTAGTTGCCTTCTCTCAAGTCTTTCACTGCTAAAATAGCACAGATAGCCCTCATGTGGCTTTGCGCGAAATTCAAAACAAACCAAACTAAACTCTCAACACTAGGCTAAAAAAAGTATTACTTTATGAAAACATATCGTGTTATGTAGGAAGGGGGGATGATTTAGATCTGATATATCGTTTTAGGTTTGGATTATCTAATAACTTCTACCATAAGAGCAGCAAGATATCGTAAAATAATAATTACAATATATAATAAATCATCTTAATTATGAGCAATAGGCAAACTACAAAAGGTTCCTATGACCACTCTGCCCTAGGTCATCGGTTGGGTACCCTCGTTGACAGCGGTGTTTCCGGCCTTCTTAAAGAAGGATGTAACAAGTTTTATGAGTGAAAATAAAAAGTCTATTTAAAGTACCCCATTACGTCTTTATTTTTATAGCTATTAATTAGAAATATTAATATAAATATTAAATGAATATTCCAAAATGAAGTAAAATACGTTCATTCTTTACTTATCAAACGTTTGTATGTCTGTAGTAATGTTATGCTTGAATGAGTCCTTGTATACAGTATCTCATGCAAGATATGGAACAGTTCAACCTATTTTTTATGTTGAAGTACGTTTGTGTGAATTTAGAACATACGTATTTGATTTCATATCTGGACATATTCATAATTCAAGGCATTTCACAAGTTGTATATTTAAACAACTAGTAAATCTTTATGATTGTATATCATTTGGAGTTAATATTACGACACGCGTTCCAATATGTATTATATATTTCATCAAGAACCCTTATTATGGCCTAATTTCGGTAACAAAATAGGTTTAAGTCTTAGTGAACCTAATGGAATAAAATTATCATGACAGCGGCTGTTTTAAGTTTGACCTGACCTTAAATTTTACTTACATGAAAGGTTGCTACAGCATCAGATTCATGTATGGCCACTTTGAACTTAAGTATGTGCGCTGCGTTTCAAACAGCACCGACACGTGCTACCCTGGACCGAGGACCGTGAGTATACTACATAAACACACCGTACTTGTTGAAAAAAAAATTACCAGTAACTCTTATACGATATCAAAAGGGTTCATATTGTCAAGTCCAAGAGATCCATTAAAATTAGAAAACAGAAAAATTTTGAAACTTTGTTATTTATCAGATATGTTCCTATAATGTTCTTATATGACTTATAAAACTGCATATCTACTGAACGTTTTTCTATCCAACAGTGTTTAAAAAGTTCGGTGAAGATTATTGCCATTAAAATGCAATAAATTCGAAGTAGCAATGGTACGTGGTGATGTTTAATAGTTGATTAATCAACATACATCTTTCATTGTACTGTATAATCTTTATGCCTGCTGAACTTATTGCTCTGGATTACACAAAATAAGGTCGTCTTGAAGTCAAATTAACACAAAAATGTAATACCGGAATGAAATTCTAAAACCTAATTATTCGTCACAGGGTAAAATAAGTTTTCAGGCCTTCTGGTTTAGTCGCAACATTTACCACGGCACTAGGGTTGTTAATAGTAGTTTAGTAACAACATTTACTACAGCACTAGAGTTGCTTAAACTACTATTGTAACAACATTTAAACAACCTAATGCTGTGGTAAACTACTATTGGTAACAACATTTACCACAGCATTAAGGTTGTTAATAGTAGTTTAGTAACAACATTTACCACAGCATTAAGGTTGTTAATAGTAGTTTAGTAAGAACATTTACCACAGCATTAGGGTTGCTAATAGTAGTTTAGTAACAACATTTACCACAGCACTAGAGTTGCTAATAGTAGTTTAGTAACAACATTTACCACAGCATTAAGGTTGTTAATAGTAGTTTAGTAACAACATTTACCACAGCACTAGGGTTGCTAATAGTAGTTTAGTATCAACATTTACCACAGCATTAAGGTTGTTAATAGTAGTTTAGTAAGAACATTTACCACAGCACTAGAGTTGCTAATAGTAGTTTAGTAACAACATTTACCACGACACTAGATTTTCTAATAGTAGTTTAGTAAGAACATTTACCACAGCACTAGAGTTGCTAATAGTAGTTT